TAATGTTTTTTCTTTTCTTTTTCTTTTAATTAATTTTTATTCCTGCCCGCTTGGTCAGGTAGCAATGTTGAAAACTGAAAAGTCAAAATCGATCTTATTTGTAAATTCCATCGGTCATCGATTTGTTCCCGTCGGTGGTGGATCGGCAACTTTAAATCTACGACTACGGTTTGCTTGCTTGGTATGACTCTTCACTCCTGTACATAATTAAGAGTTAAGATGAAGAGTGAGTGATGTATAGTTAGTAGAGTAAGTTGCTGGTGATCTACGATTGAGTAAACTGATAGAATAGTTATGCTGTGATTATTTTCTCACTTTATTCTATTGCATTGTCTGCATACCAATTCCAAGTCCCGTCTCCGTATTTCGCTTCACCCCCGTACACCGCAGTCATTTCTAGTCCCTCACATATACATAGTTCAGTATCAGGAACTGCCACATGCAGACAGGTTCCTAGACCCTGAAGCCAGTGGCAACTCATCCCCAAGGAATCCAAGTGGGACAGGCTCCTGCAGGTACCTCCTGCGCCAATTGCTGGAAAGCTTAGCTTAACTCTCTAAACTGGATCTCAAAATGCACGGCGTCTCAGGTGACCGGCCTGCAACGCTGGCCGTGATGAATCAGCGTCTTCACATCCCAATCAGCTTGATCGAATCGAAGCTCTCGGTTCTCTCTCTCTCTCTCGGTCTCGGTCTCGGTCTCTCCACTCAGGCGCAGCTTGAACTGCGTCCTAATCCAACCATCCCAATTCAATCCAATCCAATGCCTCTTCCACCTCCGAACGAGGAAAGGGTGATCACCCAGCATTTCGCTGTCGTAACCATCGTAGGATCCATTCGACCAAGATGCCAATATCTTGAGACACTTCGAATACTCGGGCGATTTTGCTTTGCAGTTCGGCGGCTTCACTCTTCGTGCCGTCGGCTCCTTGTGTGTCCATGCCGTCGACACCGGGGGTTTCGTCGTCCAGTAACCCTGCCATGTCCACGACCGCGATGCGCCCGTTCACACCGACTTCCAAGCTGACGGAGACCTTGCTCAGGACGGGTCGACCGATGGGCGACATGGGCGCCTCCGGCCTCGTATCGTCAACGGCGAAAAGAAGCATGATGACGGGCGGTTGTCCGAGTTGGGTCCGCAGCGTCACGTCTACTTTCACTTCATCCTCCGGAGTGAAGGTGTCTTCCACAGAGTCAGCTGGCGCCTGGGGGTCTTTCGTTTTGGTGTTCACGAGCCCGGCCGTCTGAGTAGATCCCCTTAATAGCCAGTTAAGTTTGCCCTCGTTGGGGTCTTTGTTGCTCAGGACAACAACCCCATTCTTTCCCGCGGGCTTGCCTGGTAGGCCTGGGCCTGAGAATTTCAATTCTCTCGTCAACTGGACACCCGGGTTGTGTGTTTGGGATTCTTTTCCGTTGTCATCCTTGGGAGGAGCGTTGAAAATATTGCGGATGGTATTCGCCACAAATGCGTATTGTCGTAGAGTCTGTGACCCCCACATTAGTTTCAGTACTTTAAATCAGATGATGCAGACCCGACTTACCGGAAGAATATCAGCGAGTTGGCGAGGATGAGAAAAGGGAAGGTCACGTATTGTCTTTCCCCCCGTAGCTTCAAATGGTTGGAAAGTGTAGCTGTGCTGCTTGGTACGAGACCGGCCTTCCATGTCGACTGACTGGACTGGAATTGTGCGCTTCTTGCGATTTTGCTGAGATGCCTCCTCCGAGCCGAGACCCATCGCGCCTGTCGACGACAATGGCGACCATCCCGGGGCCAATAACCCGTCGTAGGTGACCATCTTGAATTCCTGGGGTAGCTGGATCCCGAGGTGTCTGTAGATCTCCGAGGCCGGGAGGATCGGTAGATCGAGCGGTGGCTCAAATCGAGCAACGAAACGACGGTTGGGTTGGGAGCCTAGCATGCCAGAGTCCAGAGCCATTGCATCAGAGTGGTTTTGTGACAAGGTGACTGGCGGTTCGGTCCAGTTCACGACCACCGTTTCAGACTCGGAGGCATCGTTTGCGGACGATGGCTCGTTCCCATTGTTCATCACGATCAAGGCCTCGGGGCCTATCCACTCCTTCGACACTCGCAAGGACGGATATCCCTCTTCGCACTCGACGATAATATTCCACCGGCCATTAAGATCCACCGGCTCGTCATCTGACGATTGTGCAGGCGGTTGGTCGACCGCCATCTCGTCGGCGGAATTCTTCTTGTGCTTCGCATCCTGAACCTGGGCCTGCTGCACCCAGTAATTCAAGTTCAAGCCCACGCGCCCTTCCTTATGTAGACACGGACGACCAACCAAACCCCGGCAGAGATGATCATAGAGCCCGGAGAATTTGCCACGGTTCTCCTCCCCATCCCACACCCGCTTATAGCTCTGATACAAACCCTCAATGGCCTCGAAACAATTCACCTCCTGACTCAACCGATCATGTCTGGCCAGCCACTGCAGATTCTCATGGAACCCTGCCAACGACTTCCAGATGCCCTTCTCCCCATCCTCCGGCGGCTGGATCAGATCGCGCTTCAGCACCGCCGTGGCCTCTTCCCTGGTTTCCCCTTCCGGCGTGTCCGGCGTCGCATACTTCAAGCTCACATCCTTGACGGTATTTAAACCCCGATGGAAATCAATCTCCAGGTCCACGAAGTTCCCCGCAATGTTGAGATTATCCTCCTGCCAGATCGACTCGAACCCTTCCAGCTGGCCGAGACGCTCGATGCCTTCCCGACACACACCCCGACCCGCTACCCGGGTTCGTAGAAGCTGCACCAAGTCATCGAGATGTCGTCGTCGCTCTTCGTCGCTGTCTCGCGCCGTGCCGAGCTTCAGTCCCTGCATGCCCAGCGCCTGGATGTCGCTCTCGTTCATCCCGGACGGTACCAGTCCGTCATGGACGGCCGGCGACGGACTGATCCCGCTGTAGCCGCCGAGCGCGAGAAGAGCTGACGGGGAGCTGAACGCGACGGGGTCTTCGGGCCCGGCGGTCGCCGCCAGAGGCGTGGCGTACTGATGCGAGGGGGCCGGCTGGTGGTTGCCGTGTGCGGGGCCCGAAATGGACGGGGTGCGCGCTGACGGCGACTTATGGGACATCGGTCGGGTCATGGGTCCTGAGGGGCGAGGGGACGAGGTGAGATGGGTGGGCGTTGCGCCGGGATTCTTGGATGACGGGGTCGCCATGGTGGGTTTTCGCTCTGGACGACGTCCCAGGAATAATTGAGCACGGTCAACAGATCGGGTCAATCGAAATCAAAAGGGGTATCGTATGTAGCTAAAAGAAGATCAATCACTCAGTAGCCTCGATGGTGGTGCCAATCGCATGAGTGCGCATAGTTTCGTTCGTTTCGTCGTGGTGAACTGAAAGACACAAGCCAAGAAAGAACAAAATTAGAAAGAAAAAAAAAAAAAAAAAACCTATGGATTAGACGGGGAGAAATCCAGGAAGCGCCAATACCATTCCCCCCTCAAAGAAAGTCCAAGAACGCTGCAAAGCACAGGAAGAGGAGCTCAGGTCGCAAGCGCAACTGGTCGGGTCGATCTGATCTGCAACAATGAAACGCGCAGTCACATGAGTTTGTCCTGTTTGCTCGGACAGCGTCATAGCCATTGCTTTTCTCAGTAGTCCAGTCGGTCCTCTACATCTTTACAGATTCCTTATCCCTCTTAAATTGAATTGAACCATCATTCCAATCAATTGAACTACGGCCATCATGCTGGTCTTACGCTCTTTCATCCGCCAACCCGGCATCTCATCTCGATTTTCCCAGATCCGCAGCGTATCAACTCTAGAAGGCCATCCTCACATAGTCAGTTCCTCCACCACCTATCTACTTCTTTCCATACAATCCCTCCCTCACGCTATTTTCTCCAAGCCAGCCCAACTAACTAAGATAAAATAGTACACCTTCTCTAAGAATGGCACGCACATCCTCTCCCTCCTCCCAACAACCCCCCCCAACGCGACGCTCTCCATCGGCCTAACATCGAAACTCCCACCCACACCGGACTCCTTCCGCGAGAATCCCCGCTTCCTGGAGATTCTGCAAGACGTGCTCGCCGAGCACGGACACCAGGACCCCGATGCCGTCTCCCAAGCCCAGGTCATGGTGTCGACGGCCGGCGCAAATCTCAGCTCCGGCGGCGTACTGTTGACCGGGGGCCGGGCAAGGCGTAGACGCGGAGAGACGGCGGATTTGAGTGGCGGGGCGAGTGGACAGGGAGGTGCTGGGTCTGCGGGGAGGGGTGGGTGGATTCATTTGTCGGATGGGAGGAGGCCACCGGAGTATGGACGGATTGCTTGGTGAGTTTCCTTTTTTTTTTTTTTTTTTTTTGTCTCCGCCCTCTTTTTTCCCCCTCTTCTTCTTCTTCTTCTTTTGCGCTGGGCGATAGGGAGGGTATCTGTGATATGTATGGGGTTGACTGACTGACTGGTTATACAGGCCAGAGGATATCTTTGGGAGTTTGGAGGTAGATGGAAATGGTAGCTTTGTTGGAGGAAATGGGAATTATCAGTCGAGTGGTAGGTGTTGCTGCCTGTCTTGCTTAGGGGTGTGAGGCTTGGTTGGATGTGAGCTGATCTTCTATTATAGGTACCTATCGCATGGTGACGAGGGATGGATTGTAAGTTCCTCTTTTCCATTCTCATACAGACCGCGTGGTGATGCTGACTAACTTTTCTTATAGCTTCGGACTGAGCCCTTTCCTGAGAGAGAAGCTGGTTCAGAAGTTGCGCGAGATTGAGTCTCAATTCTAATAGAGCCTGGCCTGTCAGAATGCCAGGAGCTCAGTTCGCAAAATGGGAAAGGCCAATTTGGTCATCTGTAGAACTATATAATGAATTGTATTATATTTGATGTCTCTGGTAATTTCCGCTGCTAAATAGGCAGTAAATGAATGAGCTTCATCTCATTGCAATCAAATGCATTGCCATATGGGCCCAGCCCTAATTCCAGTCATATTAAAGTCCCCCGAGATATGCAGACTTGAAAACTGATAATCACTTGCCAAAAAACTTCGTGATCCGCTGCGATCCATCCGACGCCTTCTTGCTGTCCGCCTTCTTTGGCGGTTTTTGATTATGCGTGGCACTGCGTGTCTTCCTTCCCGAAGGCACGGTCAGCCGTTTCGACAGCGATGGCGAAAACTGTCCTTGGGCCTTTTGCGGCGACGGAGTATGTTCCTCGAGCTTCGGCTTCTTCGGGTCGTCCGTGTCCGCGCCCTCACCTGGCCCTTGGTCGTCATGTTCTCGCTTAACACCCGATACTGGCTTCGGTGCATGATCCTCGCTCCACTCATCATCCTTCGTCGGTCTCTGCTCGCTTTCATCTTCCTCTACTTTCGGCTCTTTAGTTGGCACTGGTTTCTCCACAGGAGCCGGCTCAGACTTCTCTTTCGCGTTGGCGAAGAAATTCGCGATGTTGTTCTTATTCTCCTTACTGGCCACGGGGACCATGAAATCCGGCGAGTTGTTGCCCACTTTGCCCACCTCCTTGGAGACGGCATAGCACTCTAGCTCACCCTCGTAGGGCTTCAGCACGGACTGTAGTTCCTTCGACCACGTCGTACGCGTCGGATCCAGCCATGTCTTCATGGCGTCGCTACCTGGCTCGAGGATCACGGGCATCCGATCATGGAGGAACTTCAAGTAGGGGTTTGATGAGGTCGTGATGACGGTATATGTGAAGAGGGGTTCTTCGGAGTCTGTGATTCCCGGGATCTTCGTTAGTTTCACGCCAACACCAACATACACCACCTAATATCCCCAAGAACGAATCTCCCCCCGAAAGGAGAAGGAGACAGAGGGGAGGAGAAACGAACCATCAAACGAAACACAGTCCCACAACCCGGCAAAGAACATCAAATCCCCATCCTTCCGTTTCACGAAATGCGGGACCTTCTCCTTCCCGCTGGGTCCCTTCTTCAACCACTCGTAGAACCCCTGGCAGATGACCACGCACCGCTTCTTGCGCTTCATAGACGTCCACATGCCGCGGTCCTCGACGAGCGAGTCATCGCGGCAGTTGATCGTGCGCATGAGGGTTCCGTAGTCTAGTAAGCGCTTGGTCCACGAGGGCACGAGGCCCCATTTCATAGCTTGGAGTTTGTAGTGGGCGCGGGCCTTGGAGTTGCTGCTGGGTGAGGTAAACTTGGGAGGGCCATTCGCGGGGTTAGTTTCTTGTTCGTTTTCGGGAGAGTTGGGATTCGTGTTTGAGGGGTGGTGGTGATGTTCTTCATTGGGGCTGTCGGCGCGGTAGATGGCGCCGTTGTATCCCGGGGCGAAGTTGTAGGTTTCGCGAATTGAGTCATCAGGGGGTGCGTCGTCGACTTGTAAGCCTTGTTCTTGCATCCGATTGCGGATGAAGAGCATGCGCTGGGTTTATTTGGTCATTTACCTATACGGTTTGTTGATTGTGTAGTTGATGATGGGAAGGACGTACCACGCCTAATGCATATCGTCCACACATTGGAGTAGATTTCCTCAACGGGTCAAATGGGATATGAGGGTCATAAATCGATGCAATAAGATGCCAATCACATTATGGTAGAGGTAGATGTGAAAACAAAGAGAGAGAGGATGGAGGAGTTCTGGGAATGCGACGTCATATGAAAGCGGAAGCTTGGGCCACCTCCGCCGGCGGACTTTCGTTCTTTTCTTCTCACCTCGACTTTCTCCGCCGTCCGTTCTACATGCAATAACCACCACCACGTTCACCTCTCTTTCTCACCCATCTTCGAACCGATCTATACCATCATAAATCAACCCTCAAACACTCATGCCAACACCCAATTAATCAAGTCAATCGCCCCCCCTCACCAACAAACAGAAACAACCAGCATGTTCAACGCAACCACCCGGCGCGCCTGCGCCCTCACCCCCAAGACCCGAATCCTCCAACACCACAACCAACCCTCTTCGCGCTCAATATCCCACCTCCACGCCCGCCCCCGCCCCAATGGCCCAAACTATACCCGATCGCGCCTCCCCACGGGGGGATCCGCTCAACAAACCCGGTCCCTCTCATTCATGCAACGCATGAAACTCGGCTTCCGCGCCGCCTCGAAAGACATCTGGCGCAAGAACCCGATTCTCCTGCCTTTGGCGCTCTTCTCGACGGCCGGCGCCACCCTGATCTTCACGTACATCGCCTACACGGAATTCACGACGGTCGGGCCGCAGTACCACAAGTTCCCGCCGCCGGTGGTGCAGTCGCTGCGCACGGCGGTGTATTATACGGAGGTGGATCTGAACCCGCCGAAGGCGCTGGAGGCGTATAAGAAGGCGTTGCATATTGCGGTTGAGATGGGGATGCATCCGTTCTCGGATGAGGTGGTGGGGATTAAATTGCAGGTGGCGATGATGTTGGAGAAGGCGGGGTTGGCGAAGCCGGCGGTCGAGGTGCTGGAGAGGACGAAGAAGGAGGTGTTGCAGTGGGTTGAGGAGGGGAGGAAGAAGGAGGAGGAGGATGCGAAGAAGGGAGAGAAGAAGGAGGAGGTTGCGCTGGAGGTGACGGATCCGGAGCTGCTGGAGGAGCAGCGCAAGATGCAGGAGGTAGAGGCGTACGAGCACGTGCAGCGGGATAAGGCGCTGAAGAAGGCCGTCGGGATCGAGATGAAGTTGGCGGAGCTGTACTCGAGCGATCATATCCAGGAGGACGCTAAGGGGGAGGCAGCGCAGGTGGCTGCGGTAGAGCTTTGTCTGGAGGAGATGAGACGGCGACAGCGCCTGGGTCTGCCGGTGGGTGGCGGATCGCAGGACAACGACGCCTGGTTGAATCTGACGGAGATCGCCACCGCGCTGTCGGATCTGGCGTCGCGATACACCGACCAGGACAAGCATGAGCTCGCCATGCCGCTGTACCTTCGCGCTCTGGACCTCCTCCGAGTCGCCGAGGGCGACCAGCCCACGTGCAAGCAGGTCGTGCTGCTCAACGACGTCGCCAGCGCCATGGCGGGACAGGCCCAGAAGCCGATCCGGGCGGCGGACTCCAGCGCGGCGCGCAATCAGCTCGTCGAGGCAGCGAAACAGTGGGCTCAGAAGTCCATCGAGGTCGCTGCGAGAATCCAGCCGCCTGTCCGTGACGAGGACTGCGATGCGTCCTGCGTAGCGGCAACTTACAACCTCGGTGAACTGGCGGAACTACAGAACAAGCCCAAGGATGCGGAGAAGTTCTACAAGCAAGCCAAGTCCCTAGCGCAGGGTCTTCGATTCGAAGAAGGAATTGCGATGGCCGACGGTGCGCTGAGAAGAGTGACGAAAAAGTGAACGAAACTCCCCTCGAAGATTAACTATATATCTTGACTCAACTCAGAAAATGTACAATATATAGATAGGATAGAATGCAACTACGCAGCACAGCAGATACAAAACAAGACGAAGACTCATGTGTTAGCCGTAGCTATAGGAAAAGACTACATTAGTGGACAGGATCTACAACTGCTCCAAAGCTACTCGGGCAAACAAGCAGTCTTAGCATGAACCCACAAGAGGAATACGAGGACAGGACAAGACAAGACAAGCAATGATCCAAAAGACTTTCACATCTTCGAAGAAAAAAGTGGTGGTATTAGAACATCGCATGTCTTTTCCATCACAAGATACCAGACACTGGAGTCAAGTGATGTTTAAAGTTCAAGACATGTTTTAGAAAAACCGCCCCGGAGACGAGTTATCTTTCTCAAAAGAAGAATCCAACTAAGGAGCCTTTTAGAAAAAAGTCCACGTCTCCAGAGGGGGGTACTTCATTGCTCATGGCTTCATACATCCCAAACCAATTGCCTGCCCATGAATTTTAAGGGAAAGAAAAAAAAACAATCGAACAAAGGTAGTAAAAAAAAAAATTTGGAAAATAAAATGGTTATTTCTTTCCTCTCATTTGTCTCTTCTCTCTCCTTTCAAGGTTTTTTTGTGTTCCCTTCCCTGTTTTTTCGAACATTTAAACAAGCTCACGGTTATAAAATGTTTTAGTTTTTATCTGAAAATCTATGCCCGCGACATGACACCCCAAGCACGGATCTTGTTGTCAGTGTAACCAGCGAACAGAGTCTGGCCATCAGCAGACCAGGCCAGAGACACACACTCGGGCTCACGGCTCTTCTTGCCCTTCTCGATGTACTCGGGCTTGAGCTCGTCAACCTTGCTCTTCTTCTCGAGGTCGAAGATGGTGATGCTGGTCGTGGTGGCAGCGCAGAGCCAGTAGCGGTTGGGGGAGAAGACAAGGGCGTGGATCTCGTCACCAGCGTGGAGGGAGTAGAGGTGCTTGGACTCGTTCAGGTCCCAGAGCATGGTGGTACCGTCCTTACCACCGGAGGCGCAGAGGGAGCCATCGGGGGAGATGGTGACGGTGTTGATGTTACCGGTGTGACCGATGTGGTCGGTCTGGAGGCGGCAGGAGGCGAGCTCCCAAACCTATTGAGATGTTGGTTAGCTTTCATGAAACCTTTTCCAAATTCTCATATCATTCCTCGGAAGGGTGAATAAATGGCGAAAGAGTGATTTTGATAAAAAATCGCAATTTGTTTGGTGTCCATCAGGCATTGGGTGATTTTTTGTCTCATGGCCATAAGGCTCTGAAGTAGCAAATACGTAGATATGCAAACATCTTCTGGAAATTCAAAACAAGTCTCGGCCTCGCTTCGAGCGCACGAGTGGGAGGGGGTATCAAAAAAGAGAGAAAATGCATACCTTCACGAGCTTGTCCCAGCCGGAGGAGACAATGACGGGGTTCTGGGGGTTGGGGCTGAAGCGAACGCAAGAAACCCAGTCGGCGTGGCCCTTCTCGGTGATGGTGAACTTGCAGTCACCAAGGGTGTTCCACAGCTTGATGGTGCGGTCACGGGATCCGGAGACAATCTGGCGGTTGTCGGCGGAGAAGGAGACGGAGAGGACGTCGTTGTTGTGGCCAACGAAGGTACGGGTGGTCTCGCCGGTCGAGAGCTCCCACAGGCGGAGGGACTTATCCCACGAGGCGGACAGAGCGTAGGCACCGTCGGAGGAGATAACCTATAAACACCAAAATCCCACACGGTCAGCCGAAAAAATCTGTCTTCCGATCCTTCTGTCTGATTTTCTCGCAACCCAGCTTCGCGAAGAGGGGTTCTCGATCTCAAAGGGGAGGGTAAAATGAAAAGGTTTCGTAAGACATACACAGTCCGAGACGATGTGGGAGTGACCCTCGAGGCTGCGCTTGGGGTAACCGTAGGCCTGGTCGTCGCGGGTGAGGTTCCAGATGATCAGAGTCTTGTCGCGACTGCCAGAGAGCAGCATGTTGGGGCTAGAATCGAGAGAAAGAGATACATGTCAGAAAACCCAATTCCATATATATGAAAGCGATCATGTATGCATCCACCGAAATCCAGCCCATGTTCCAAAGAATCATTGTCTTTTTTTTTCATCATGAAATTTTTTGGACATGTTCCTATTTCGGTATGGATTTGATCGAAATTGCAGGTGCCGGGATTTCCCTTACTTCTCCAGAGAGGTGGCCAGGGAAGTAACCCAGCCATTGTGACCCTCGAGGGTGCCGCGAAGGACCAGCTGCTCAGCCATGTTCGGAGTCTGGGAGACGATGGAAGGGGGACCGCGAGAGGAGAGAGGAGGATGAACGCGGGCGGAGCAATTGTCGTTGACTCTGGGCTGGGGATAAAATCACAGCGTTCGACGATGGAGGAGCACAAGGCCCAAACCCTAACCTACTTTGCCGGCGCCCGCTTGTTGTGGAATCACGTGGCGGGAAGCCCTAACAAGCGAGTCACGTGGTATATACTGGACAATGCTTCGTGTCTGGGACTACGGTGTACGAAGTCGGAACACCTATTCTATTCTTGTATATTCTATGTCGGTGTTGTTCCTAATAGAACTCCATTTCCGAGAATATCGCACCCGTGAAACTCGTACGACTCGACCATTACGTCTAGATCGAGACAACACCCAGACCCGACACATGCAGTTACTGACATTCATCCAATGATATCATCTATCATCTATAGCTATGCCTAGCTATATACGGAATATAAGTTGGATATCAACTCAAACAACTGACCGATATAATCACACCTTCATATCACATACCCCATATCCCTCAAGCGGAACAAAACAAGCAAATCTTATAAAGATTATACAACCAACAGCGTAGTACATACAATATGTTACAGCCTCGACAGAAACTATACATCACCACCCCATCCCCCAAGTCCTACTACCTCCACCATCCTCAAGAATCAAACACCTTAATATTCGGCATCCTCCCCAACCCACTCCCACCGGTCTTCTTATTCTTCGCCGCATGGAACCCCGTGGCGCTATTATCTTGCACATGAGCTCTCAGCAGATTCAAGACCTTCGAGTCGGCCCATCGAGCCGGAACGGGCCGATATGCAGCCTTGAACGCGCCGACTGTCTGCGTCCACTCCCCGCTCTTGGCCCCGGTGCGCTTCCAGGTTTCCGTCGGCGTGTCCGAGGCCACGCTCGAGGCCTCCTCCGCCGGCGGATCCTGCGTCGCCCAGTAGTAGATGTCCCAGTCGTTTTCGTCCAGGAAGCGGTCGAATTCCTCTAGTTGCGCCTTGTCCATCTTGGCGAGGTAGACGTCCGCAAAGGTCGAGAGGAGGAGATCGGATTCGAGAATTCCGCGTTTGCGGCTTTGGTCTGCATTTCGTGTTAGCATCTTCTCTTATTACCTCTTCATATCATCCCAGCCAGCGAATAAGATAAGAAAGGAGAAGGGGAACTGACAAAGCAACCTCGCCCTCATCGTAGCCAAATCCTCCCCCGTGCGTTTCAACGGCTCAACCTTAAACGTAATCCCCTCCATCTCACCAACGCCAAGCTCCGGCTTCTGCGCTCCAGGCTGCTGTCTACCACCCGTGAAGTGCTCAACCTTGCCGGGGTACGCATCCGCCGGCCTGTAGTTCGGATCGACCGAGTTCAGCATCTCGGGCGGAGCGGGCTTCTCGCCGACCTTCGGGTAGTCCTTGGTCATGGTGGAGGTCGAGTGCGGGACGAATTGGTTGGGGGGCTTCGAGGTCTGATTCTCGCGATACTGGGCCGTATTCGACGATGAGGCGTCTGAGTCTCGTTCACTGTTGCCATCTTTCGCGCGGACTGCTGAGATGCCGAACGAGCGACGGGGGAGGAGAGGCGTTGAGCGGATTGACGACGCGGAGGGTCGGAGGACGCGGTGCATGAGTCGCGGGGCGGACATCATGGTCTTTATTTCAATGGTTTTTGTTTGAGAAAGATTGAGAAATCTGGGAGGAGAGGGCGAGAAGGGAATGGCGAATGGTTAAGCTATTAGAGCCGATGAATAATTGACGGGATTGACATCATCCGGAGGTAACGGTGCAAGTAGCCTGTTTGTGGTGTTTGCAGGGGCCAAACATCGGACCAACCGAGATATGCCGATTTCCAAGATCAAGCATCTCAAGTAGTTCTGGGAAATATGACTAGTTTCTAGTAGCCTATATACTATCTCTCTGTTTAAGAGCTTTCAATACTTGTGATCCACAAATCAACCGTCTAAATATAACAACACCTCAACAGTATAATCAGTTCTACAAAACACTATACATTGCCTAACATCACGCCTCCCATTCTTAGTGTATAATTCATAGGATCATAAGTATTCAAACAGTGTAGACGTCAAAGATATGTCCGAGACTACATAAGATTCGAAAGAAGACCAACAACAACTCGGCACAAAATGCATTGTAAAACTCCGTATTTTGTCATGAAGAAAAAATGAAAATAAAGAAGCAACAAACAGCATCAAGCCGCCTTCTTCTTCTTCCCAACCGGACAGCAACCCCGAACGAGAAAGGAAAGAATGTCGAAATTAGATGAGATGCTTGGATCTATGATTGATCAAAAACACAGCCGTTAGTTGCAATGATCTCAAGCCGCAGGTAGGGAGCCAAAAAAAAAAAAAGGTTTAGGGCAAGAAAGGAAAATGAACATACCGGAAATAAGCCCGCAGGTAAACCACCTGCCAAGCACCCAATCCCATCAGCATACCCATCGTCCCGAAAGCGAACCACTTGACACGCTCGTTGGTGCTCTCGTTGGTATCGCGTAGCTTTTGCTCACGCGCCCGTAGGTACTCCATCTCGCTGACGACCTCGGCCACCATCTCCTCCATCCGGCGGAGATCGGCCTCGATGGGCTTGAGCTTCTCGTGCTGTTGGATGCTGGACCAGTCCCGGGCGTCGGCACCGATGTCGACGTCGAGTTCAATGGACCGGTAGAGGTTGCCCCCTGTGAGAACCGTTAGATATCATGCCCGTAATGCCACGTGGTGGATTATGGGTTTCCCCGTGGACTGGAACGGAAAGTACTTACTACCGGTAGTAAGCAGGTTCTCGAAACACACGTCGAAGGAAGTGTCGGCGGGAGGAGTGAATGTCTGACGGGTCTCTCCGACGATGTCCCTAGGACGGCCATGGTTATTGCCCAGGGAGTCTTTAATCTGCATCAAACGAAAAGATCAACCCGTTAGTATATAAGCCAGAATTATGACGGGAAAAAAAGGGACATGAAGAGCTTCATTGAGCGCCGATCCCAAAAACAACCACCAACAAATAATCCAACGATCACAGCCCAAGAAATAAACACCCTCAAGCAAAATAACCACACATACCTCCATATTAACGACCTGCCCGTCACCCTTCGTACCACCCACAATAGCAGTCACCTGGACCAGCTGATCCTTAAGGGCGAAGTTGCGTATACATCGCTCGTTCTTGCCGCTGACGGCGGGGAGGTCGAAGTGCAGCGCGGAGGAGAGCTGGACCAGACACAGGAACAGAAGACCGAGGACGGACCTCATCGTGAACGAAGACCCCATGGTCGATTGGTGGATTGTCGCAGAGGTCGACACTGAAGGTGTTCTTGGGGAATTATTGAGTATCTTGAACAGCGGCCCATTGATGCCACGCCGCGCTCAAGGGGAACGATCTGTCCGGTAGGTCGGAGGATCATTGTTCCGGATCAACTTGGGCCACGCGTTTTCAGATAAATTGGCTGTGACCAAGGCATTATCATTATTTGATGTGTACGTTTTCAGATTGGCGAGGTATTTAATGATTGAAGTCTCTACCCACTTTTTCTTTTCAAGAAAATTATGATAGATTCAAAAGAATTCATTGTGGACAGATGTACTAATCCGCCCAAGCCTAATCCGGCAATATGAAAATAGTCACCAACAAAATCCCCGTAGAAAGCCGCCAATTTATCCCGTGGTATTGTGAAAAAAAGAAGAAAAAGAAAAAGAAAAGACCATCATACTCGGTATAATACCACTTTTTGATATCCAAAATCAGAAACCATTCGCGGTAGAATCAAGACTCCAAGAAGAATGTGACAAAATGGAGTATAAGAGAAGATATAAGGAGAACGAGAACCAAACCTATACGGTCAGAACCAATATAGGAAAGAAGAAAAAAAGATGAGGAAGAAGACAGGAGTATCACGGCAGGGATATAAACACCAAAAAGTAGTTCGTCATACGGCTCAGAACGCTTTCAAAGGACACATATCATCGCCAGCATATAGCAATTTCGTGTTTGCAACATGTCAAAACAAGAAAGGAGATCTCAAACGAAAGATTCAAAAAGAGAAGGGAAAATCGCGAAAGAATGTGTGGTTTCATGTAGCCCATATCAAGTTTCAACCTTCTTCCGGCGCACAAACAGACGGGAGAAGCCACTGCTCGATTCTTTGCTCTTGCCCCCAGCACTAGGCGGTGGAGTGCGGACAACAGGAGGCTCCGGGGGACCGGTGCTTCTGAGGAAATCAGCCAGGGAGCTGGTCTCTGTCTGCCGTTGTGAGACGGTGGGCATATTGTAAGAGTTCGACCGCGCTGCTGCATTTCGCTCCATGCCGATCTTGGTGGTATAGTTCGCCGAGACGACAGGAGGGTTGCTGGGTGCCGGCGGTTGGCGGAGGGAAGTTCGGGAGGTTTTCGTAGAGGGACCATTGCGAAGAAGTCGCGCCTTCATCGAAGAAGTGCCGCTAGAGGGGGCTTTTGCAGCGGACGCATTCACGAAAGGTTGCGGGGGTCCAGATGTAGCTGGTGGTGGAGCAGCGTTCATCAGGAAATCCATCAAGCTCTCTTCCTCGCGCTTGGGTGGTTTCGGTCCTTCCAGAAGCTCCTCCAGGTCCTCATCGTCATCATAATCGATGGCATAAGGATCAGGCACCCGACGCTGTTTCCGGGCGGGGCGCGGGTCATCAGAGACGGTGACAGGCTCCGGAGCCACCACAGGAGCTGGTCTCGGAGCGCTGGTCGGGGCCGGGACCCGGTTTGAAGAATCCAAAAGTCCCGTGTGAGAGCCAACGGAAGTTATAGACTTGGTAGCGTAGGAGTCATCCTGGGTGCTAATAATCGACGGGGCTTGGTTCTCGGCATAACTGGGTCCTAAGGACTGTAATTCGTCCGAGTCCATGGTATCGCGGAAAGGTGCAACGGTACGCGGGATGCGACGGGCCCCAGCAGTCGGCGGGCCCTCTCGAATAAAATCAATCAGATCAGAACTCTGGTCTCCCTTGGGAGCGACGGCAGGACGCGCCTGCAGTCGAGGAGCGCTAGGAGCAGCATGAGAGCTGCGGGCCGTGTTCGAAAGAGAGCTTGGAGGTCGAGTGAACTTCTTTGAGAAGTCTGCGGCATCGGAGAACCGACGAATGCGCGACTTCATGGTACTGGGACTAGGTGGTCCGTTTTTGACCGAGTTGGCAAACTCGCGGGTCGATCCAATGCTGGGCTTCGTATCACGAGAATGTCCTGCACTTGGTCTTGCCGGCGGCAAACTCATATTTGATGGCTGGATGGGTTTGTGTTTAGGCAGGTCGGACGATTTGGTTTTGGTGATGGATGGAAAATCCGCCTTAGCCATGCCGGAAGTGCCCGGACGTGGAGACGCAGGGGGTGCAGTGGATTTCAAGAAATCCGCCAGGTCAGCGGTATTGGATTGCTGGTTTCGCCAACGTGGAGAATCAGGTTCCTATTCAAGTCAGTAACCATGTCACCAAAGTCGAAATATTCCAAAATCAAGTTTTGGAAGACCAGCATAGAATGCATAAAAACATACCTCGATCTCTCGCATGTTTCGTGGAGTTAGAGTAAAATGAATTGTCTCCTCGCTGCGGATCAAATCATCCAAGTCCGCTTTTTCGTCATGCGACGAGGCCCTGCTTGTTTCAGAGGAGCTGCGCAGTTGGAGCGAGCTAGAGTCTCCCTGTCGAACAATTAAACCCTTTATTTTGGTGGAGACCTGCGATGTGGTGGAGCCGGCCGTTACGGGACGCTTATCGCGGTAGCTGCTGAAGCTTTCGGAACGGCGAGGCTTGGAGTAGCTCGAAGAGGCTGCAGAAGTCGTCGGTCGCCCTGACAGTCGCTGAACGGCCGCCCGTTCGGTACCTGAGCTGGTGGTGGACGCAGCCGGGCTCGAGCGCCCGTAGGGAGTTTGTTGATGGGTACTACCGCGGCGCAGGGGCAACGGACTGGGGCGTTGACGAACCCGCGAACTCTCGGAATACGCACTCTCGGCGGACGACAGCGGTCGGGGGGATTTTTCCTCGCTCGAGTTGTCGGTTGAGAAACGAGGCTGAGGGGTAACAGGGTCCGGGGAAGTCAGATCCGTGTCAGAAGTGTTCGACGCTTCGGTGCTGACGGCGGGTTGCGCCGGGGTGGAGTCTCCCCCTTGCGTTTGGGGCGGATCTTCGGCCACGGACTGCACCATTTGTTCGCTGCTGACGGCCGCAGTCGACCTGTCGTTTTTCCGACTGGGCCCCCGGCTCGATTTTCGCGGTCGCTGCACAGACGCCAACTTGGGCTTTTCGGCCATCCCTTGTCCCTCGATGATCTCGGCCTCCGAGTCAGGTTGATTCCGGTCACTCAGAGACGAGGCTCTCGTGCTGTTGGCCCGGCTGGTCACCACTTCGGCTGAGGCGCCAGATACCGAAGAGGTTGCCGCTGTATCTTGCCCGTTCGACTCTTCGGGGAAGCTGTCTGTCTCGGACTTCTTCGTGGGCGATTCAACCGAGGGCGAAAGCACTTGCTCCGGCTCCGTGGAATCCACAATGACGGGTTTCTTATCGGCAGTAGATTCGTCGTCTTCGTCATGTTCATACATGGTCTCCAGCTGCCGTCGTTCCTCTGACGAAGTAGGGGACGGATGGTCAGCGGTCTGGTCGTTTGTCTGTTCAACCTTAGGGGTTTCCTGGGGTGGTAAGGCGGCGCTGGAACCGGGCAAGGACCGCGACCGAGCATGTCGGTGTGTCTTTGCACTCTGCGGTCTTGGGGAAATCGGCGAGTTGCCGTTGAATGTCGGAGACCGTGGTGAGGGTAGAGTGAGCACCATCAGACTCCGAGGTCGCACTTTGTGCGCCACGACGGCTTCCATGGTTTGAATAACCTCACCGCCATCCGTATCAGACGCGAAACCGGGAACCTCAATTTCCTGCACGTCGTGCTCGTTCACAGGAATCGCGACGGAAGCAGGGTCCACGTCCGCAGGAGGCTCGGGCCTGGGACTGGGCTGTGAACGGGCTGGTAGGAACTCATCCACCGCCACACTTCCTCGCTGGCCACGCACGGGGAGGTGGCCAATCGTGCCGCGACGCCGAATGGATTCGCGAGAGGTCGCTCGAGACAAGTTGGGAGAGCGCGTGCGCTTCCTCCACGTGCGCCAGAGTCTTCCCAGGGTCGGGTTCAAAGCTAGTTTTTCCATGTCGAGATCTTCAACGACCAGGCGATCCATGGTGCTTCGTTCCGCGCCAGATTCGGCCAATTCATCATCAACTTTGCTCGACAGTCGAGATCGAGCCGTCTCGCCTGCAATCACCAAGGCCTTCTCGCCGAGGTATTCAATGATATGCGCCAGGAAGATGGCGGCAGCCGGGGTGATGTAGCCGATGTGGCTTGAAAACCTCTGGGGACCATCTTCGCCCTCGCCCAGGCCGTCCTGTTCGATGTATTCCTCCTCGTCGTCTTCCTCCATATCGCCTAATCGAGTGTACACCATGCACCGCAAGCGAGTCAACTTCCACGACCGGATGAGGTCGAACTCGGCACTTGGAGTCTGACCGCCAAACTGCTCGTCTTCCGGACCACCCATGTACTCACTCAGTTCCTCGTCTGCGGCCGACACGACTTCTTTCGCCAGTCGAGGCTTGAGAACCTCCGCCACTGCGGGTCGAATGCATGCCAACTGAGTGGACTTGGAGGAGGCAAGGATATTGTAGAGGAGATGGTCGAGAAAGCCATTCAAAGCGGAGAGGGCTTCAGGAGTGACGAGAGCGCTGGCTGGGGATGCATTGTCTTCTTCGTCGTCCACGAAGTCCGCGGCGTTGAACTCCTGGTCAGCGGTGACAATCTGAGCGGCGGCGGAGGATGCGATGAAACAAGGAGCCGGGTTCACGGCGGGGGGTACGAGGAGATGAAGTCGAGGGAGCTGAGAATCACTAGACATGCTGGTACTGCGCGAGCGCGAGACCGTCCTCCCCAGATCGAGAGATTCGGGTCCTTTGCTGGACTGCATGGTGGCTATATGTGAAGATCACATACAGTGACCGTCGGGGTTTTCTTATTGCTTATTGCTTATTCTTCGGGTCGTCAAAGGCGTCGGGGGATATAAAGAGAGTCACGAAGATGCTGTGTAAGTTTTGCGTTATTCGAGCACCGAGAGTTTCAAGAACACATAGGTCATCCTAGAACCATAAAAAGCGAAAGACTTCTTTTTTCGTCAGTCAGCCTGAATTTCTAATTAACACAGCCCGTTTGGGGGCGCTTCCGCCTTTTCCTGCATGCACGTTGTATTCTGCCCCAGGCGAGTCTGACGTTTTCCC